AGATGATAGAATTCTTTTTTCTTTTCTTTTTTTTTTTTTTTTTTTTTTTTTTTGAGACAGAGTCTTGCTCTTTTGCCTAGGCTAGAAGTGCAGTAGCACAATCTCAGCTCACTGCAACCTCCCCCTCCCAGGTTCAAGCAATTCTGCCTCAGCCTTCCAAGTAGTTGGGATTAAGGTGCCTGCCACCATGTCTGGCTGATTTTTGTATTTTTAGTCGAGATGGGGTTTCACCATATTGGCCTGGCTGGTCTCAAGCTCCTGACCTCAAGTGATCCACCTGCCTTGGCCTCCCAAAGTGCTTGGCTTATAGGCATGAGCCACCATGCCTGGCTATAAATATAATTTTATGTTGACATACTTCAATAGAGTTTCAACCAATCCTTCTTTTCCCTCCCTAATTTTTCCTTCCTATTTGAAAGGAATCCATTACCTCCTCTTTTGTTCAGCAAAATGTAAAACACTGACAAGATTTATACCTTTTATTAAAAAAATGAACTATGATTGAGCCCATACATCTGATAAACTTCTGTTAATCACCCACTTACTGTGTGCTAGGCTCTGGGGAGACACAAAAACAAATGAAACAAGAATCACCAAGACTCAAGAAGCTTACAACAAATGGGAAACGAAAGGCTAGGAAACCACTGGTTTCAGGATATTGTGGTAGGTGCTATTCAAAAAGGGTGTCCAGGTGGGGCACAGTGGCTCACGCCTACAATCCCAGCACTTTGGAAGCTGAGGCGGATGAATCATTTGAGGTTAGGAGCTCGAGACCAGCCTAGCCAACATGGTGAAGCCCCACCTCTACTAAAAATACAAAAATTAGCCAGGCATGGTGGTGGGCACTTGTAGTCCCAGCTTCTCAGGAGGCTGAGACAGGAGAATCACTTGAACCCAGGAGGCGGAGGGTGCAGTGAGCCAAGATTGCACCACTGCACTCCAGCCTGGGCAACAGAGCAAATCTCCGTGTAAAAAAATAAAAAACTTAAAAAAAAAAAATGCGTCCAAAACAAGGGCCTCTAAATCAGATTTCTCATGGGGCATTAGAAATACAGAATTTTGTTTTTGCCATATTTTCCATACAATCTTAGCTTAATAACAAAAACACAAATTAGTCACAGGCAGACATCAGAACAAAAAAATAAATCAGAAATATAAATTTTGAATAAGCCATAAACCAGATAACAAGCCCTTGAATAATTCCATTTTCTTAACTTTAAGTTGATATCTTGTAAGACAGGAGCGCAACATCGAAACGCTGTCTTGTTTGAATTATAAATCTCCACTTTAAAGGGGCAGATGGAGAGCCTTATGTTCACAGAAAGCAAGCCAAGGGCTCAGAAAAGGTAACTGCTCAGCCAAAGGGAAAGATGCAAAATAGAAAACATGGTTCTGAACCCGTATGCCCTCGAAGGGTTAACAGATGCCTGACTTTGTGAGAATTTTACAGAATTGGATGTGAACCAGTGCAAAGTCCTCCAATGTGCTTTCCTTTCTCGGTCATGCAAACATGTACGTTCTACAGAACATTTCAAGTACACCAAAAAACTCTTGAGTTTCCAATCACAGAATTTAAGTCACCACATTTCCTCTGATGTATAATATGTTGTTGATAAAGTTACTGTCTTTTTTTTTTTTTTTTAGCTCTGCTTCCTTAAATGTCAAAACTACACACACGATGTATGTAATAGGAACACTGTGAAAATGAGGAGCTGCAAGTAACATTTTATTCACCTGAAGAAACTAAAATCAGTGCTTTTTGTCTGCAGACACAGTTCCTATAAACACAGAATCAAATACAGTGTGCATAGAAAGAAAAAGATTCTCTCACACTATGGCACTTCCTTCAATGGAGGCTTTCACATACCCTTTGTCAGGAAGGCAAAGAACACACATCCCGAAAACAATCTGACCGACATTCTAAATGGTTACACGATGTGAAAAATATTTTTTCCACCATATTAATAATTTAAAATACTTAAGCAGGGTGACGTGGCTCACGCCTGTAATCCCAACACTTTGGGAGGCTGAGGCAGGTGGATCACCTGACGTCAGGAGTTCAAGACCAGCCTGATCAACATGGCAAAACCCTGCTTCTACTAAAAATACAAAAATTAGCCGGGCATGGTGGTAGATGCCTATAATCCCAATTACTTGAGAAGCTGAGGCAGGAGCATCACTTGAACCAGGGAGGTGACAGTTGCGGTGAGCTGAGATCATGCCATTGCACTCCAGCCAGGGCAACAGAGTAAGACTCTGTCTCAAAAAAAAAAATAAATTTTTTAATGTTTAAGTAGTAAGGCATGCTACACTATTTTACCTTACTTTACACATTCAGTAAGCAAGGATAATTTTAAAAAGAAAACAGTTGGCCAGGTGCTGTCGTTCACGCCTGTAATCCCAGCATTTTGGGAGGTTGACACGAGTGGTTCCCCTAAGGTCATGAGTTCAAGACCAGCCTGGCCAACATGGTGAAACCCTGCCTATACTAAAAATACAAAAATTAGCAGGGCATGGTGGCACACACCTGTAATCCCAGGTACTCAGGAGGCTGAGACAGGAGAATCACTTGAATTCAGGAGGCGGTGGTTGCAGTGTGTTGAGATCACACCACTGTACTCCAGCCTGGACAACAAGAGCAAAACTCCATCTCAAAATAAATAAATAAGTAAAAATAAAAGAAAAAAGAAGACAGTAGACTTCCATTTCTTGTGTGCACAAGCCAGTAATACTTGAGATTACAAGTAAATTCCAGGATTTTTCATAATTTACATTCCTGCTCATATGTTTCTCCTATGAACACATCCTCAGAGCAACAGCAGACTTCCAAAGGTCAGGTCTGGGAAGATTTCCAACAAAAAATGAAAACACTATGAAATGCTTCTTGGAAAACTGGGGACTATTTTGACTTGATTTACCAGATTTCATGATGAAATTACGCATCTTACCAACAGGATAATAATATTTCTACTCTCATATTAATTATCTATACCTTATGTCATCATTCTCAGAGTTACATTGAATCCAGCCTTGTAGTCAGAATCAAGAGCTTGAATTCAGTTATGAGTTTACATAAAAAAGTAAAATTGGCCAGGTGTGGTGGCTAACACCTGTAATCCCAACACTTTGGGAGGCTGAGACGGGCAGATCACCTGAGGTCAGGAGTTTGAGACCAGCCTAGCCAACATGGAGAAATGCCGTCTTGACTAAAAATACAAAACAAAATTAGCCAGGCGTGGTGGTGCATGCCTATAATCACAGCTACTTGGGAGGCTGAGGCAGGAGAATCGCTTGAACCCGGGAGGCAAAGGCTGCAGTGAGCCAAGATTGTGCTATTGCACTCCAGCCTGGGCGACAGGAGTAAAACTGCATCTCAAGAAAAAAAAACAAGAAGTAAAATCATCATGCCACAAAAATATTTGCTGTTAAATTTCCCACTTGTGACTTCTATCTTAGCTTTTTCTTAGAACCTATTCTTTCTCATTGAATTATTCAGTCAACTAGACTAGAGGCGAGAATGCTCGCAAAAAGTAGAGGCAAAGCAGAATACTGGTTCAGAGGTTACAACAGGGAAAGAAGAAAGAATACACCACTCTCTCTTTCTCTGGATTCTTAGATTTATGGGGTGTGGGAGAAAATAAGCATATCTTCCTCACAAGATTTTGGGGAGGACAAATAAACTGAGGTTAAGGAGATGGAAAGAACATTCCAGGAAGAGTTTAAGATGCAGGGAGGTACGCTTACCATGGAGAACGGTACCAGACAGATAAGCAGACCATCTGGAGGAGAGAAGGATGAGAAAAGAAGGAAACAGATGTGCAGAGGGAGGTTTGGCTGGAGGGGTAACACAAGCATCTCTAAAGGAGAGAATGAAAAAAAAGAATACCCAGGTGCAGTGGTGCACACCCACAGTCCCAGCTACTCAAAAGGCTGAGGCAGGGGGCTTTCTTAAGCCCAGGGGTTGAGTCTAATCTGGGTAACATAGCGAGACATCTGTCTCACAAAAGAAAAGAAAAAAAAAATGTTTTTGGCTGGGCATGGCTTATACCTGTAATCCCAGCACTTTGGGAGGCCGAGGCGGGCAGATCACTTGAGCTCAGGAGTTCGAGACCAACCTGGGCAACATAATGAAACCCCATCCCTAAAAAAAAAATACAAAAATTAGCCAGGTGTGGTGGTGCACACCTATAGTCCCAGCTACTCAGGTGGCTGAGGTGGGAGGATCACCTGACCCTGGGGAGGTCAAAGCTGCAGTGAGCTATGATCACCACTGCACTCCAGCCTGGGCAACAGAGTGAGACCCTGTCTCAAAAACAAACAAACAAACAAAATTTTAAGGATATTCAAATCCAGTTATAACAGTCTTATTTATAGCCTTTCTTTTATTAGACCACAGTAAGATGCTTATAAAAATATTGTATTTTTTTGTTTTATTTTTAATTCACAATAATTGTATATATTATAGGGTATAATGTGATGTTCTGATATATGTATACATTATGGAATGATTAAATTAAGACAATTAACATGTATTACCTTCCATACTTTATATGTGGTGGGAACATTAAAAATCTACTCTTTTAGCAATTTTGAAATATACATTACATTACTTACTGTAGTCACCTGCTGTGCAATAGATCTCAAAAACTTATTCTTCCTGTCTAATTAAAACTTTGTACCCTTTGGCCAACATAAAAATATGGAATGAGGCTGGGCGCAGTGGCTCACGCCTTAATCCCAGCACTTTGGGAGGCTAAGGCAGGTGGATTACAAGGTCAGGAGATTGAGACTATCCTGGCCAACATGGTGAAACCCCATCTCTACTAAAAATACAAAAATTAGCTGGCTGTGGTAGAGCATGCCTGTTGTACTGGCTACGCGGGAGACTGAGACAGGAGAATCACTTGAACCCGGCAGGTGGAGGTTGCAGTGAGCCAAGATCGCACCACTGCACTCCAGTATGGGTGACAGAGAGACTCCGTCCAAAAACAAAACAAAACAAAAATACGGAATGCTTCAGGTATTTATGTGTTATCCTTACACAGGGGCCAGGCTAATCTTGTCTGTAACATTCCAATTTTAGCATATGTGCTGCCCAAGTAAGAACTAGATGTTGTATTCTTGACATTTAGGCATTTTCTAAAATATTACATTTTTATAAAATTTATCTGCCATGGAAAAATATCCACCTTTGCTAGAGCAAAGGAAGCCAGTGAAAGAAGTAATTCTTTGGGAGTATAATTGTAAACATTTAGCATTGTTTTGAACATGAGAAAAAGGAAAGCTTTCATCTAATAGACTTTCATAATCTCGAGAAATAATTCGTAGGCCATTTATTTTCAGAGAAATGTGGTGCTTCTTGGAAGAAGCCCAGAGGATCCTGCTGTTAAATCAAGACCCATGCAGGAAAAAAAATTATCCACTCCACAATAACATGGCAGGTAACACAAAGGCAGTGGGACTTCTCCAGCAGGGAGAGGCCTTCTCAATACAGGAACTCCTGCCGGCTGACTTAATTACAGCACAGTAAGGAAATCCACTACAAAGGCAGGAGCCGCTGAACAGAGAGCTGCTGAGTTCTACCCTAGGTAGACAGACAGATGGCTGTGCTGCTTCTCGGCTGGTATAAGACCTTCTAGAAAACTCTGAAAACTGAAACATGCCAACAAGTTTTCTGCTGCCAGTATTTTTTTAAAACTCTGTGCCCAGGCCAGGAACGGTGGCTCACGCCTGAAATCCCAGCACTTTGGGAGGCAGAGGAGGACAGATCACGTGGTCAGGAGATTGAGACCAACCTGGTGATGGTGAAACCCCGTCTCTACTAAAAATACAAAAATTAGCTGGGCGTGGTGCCATATGTCTGTAATCCCAGCTACTCAGGAGGCTGAGGCATGAGAATCGCTTGAACCCAGGAGGTGGAGGATTGCAGTGAGCCAAGATCACACCACTGCACTCCAGCCTGGTGACAGAGCAAGACTCCCTCTCAAAGAAAAAAACAAAACAAAACAAAACAAAACAAAACAAAACAAAAACTCTGTGCTCACCATATGCTAGTGTAAAAGTAATCTGAATTTGAAAGTCAATCAGCAAGTATTCACTGAGCGACGTGTAAGGGATAAGGAAAAGGTCTAAAGCAGCTTATCTAGTTCAGGGACATGGATTAAACTCTGATTTAATTTAAGGGCTTTTGACTTTTTCATCATACTACACACACACACGCGCACACACACAGAAAACTAGAGAAGAGGCCATGAAACTACTGCCTTGAAAATTCTCAGAGGTAAATTTACATGAACAGAGTGAGTTCATGTAAGAAACCTGGCCTCATAGACAGGAATGAGGCACTGAAACCTGTTCAACAGCAAAGGTATTTGAAAGTTTCTAAAGCAGTCACCATAGCAGCCCCATGGCTTAGAGCACAAAACAGACAGCCCCCCAAATTATGAAGCCATACACACCGTTGCTAAATAACACCACTGATAAATTCTACCTTGCAAAAATATTTAAAGAAAATAAAAATTTAACTACAAAGTTATAAAGAAGGACTAAGCTCTTACTGTCATACTGTTTTATGGAATTAATGTACATGTAAATTTTCTGCATGCAAACTCTACCTTCCTGGTCACTTTAAAGGATATAAATAAATCAAAATCACAAAATTCTTCAATCTTATGTAAGAATGTATAATAACACTACCGAAGCAGTTTAGAATTAACTTATAATTCCCTTTGCATAGAATGTATATCTATCTATACATACACATACATACATATGCAGATGCTCCTCAAGTGATGACGAGATGTATGTCCTAATAAACCCATCGTAAGTTGAAAAATAAGTCAAAAATGCATTTAATACTATGCCTAACCTATCAAATATAGCTTACTTAGCCTCACCTACCTCAAACATGCTCAAAACACGTACATTAGCCTACATTTGGGCAAAAATTACCTAACACAAAGCCTACTTAAAAGGAAGTGTTGAATAGCTCATGTCATTTGTTGACTAGCGTATTGAAAGTGAAAAACACAATAGATGGATGGGCACCCAAAATATGGTTTCTATTGAAAGCGTGCCACTTTCACACCATTGGAAAGTCAAAAAATCATTAAGATGAGCCATCGTGAAGTCAGGGACCATCTGCATACATACATATATAAATACATACACATACATATTCCTATTTAATGCTCTTAACAACTCTATGAGCTAAAAATGCACAGCCTGGTGAGTCTGAATGAGTTAATATATGTAAAGCACGTAGAGAACTTCTAGCAATATAAGTTTTGAAGTCATACTGCCTGAATGAGATTTGGGTTCCATCACTAGACAAGCTAATTAATTTATCTGTGCCGCAATTCTCTCGTCTATGTAAGTGGAAATAATAATAAAAGCCTCTACTTCATAAGCTAATGAGGCATATGCTATCTGGCATATTAAATATTTAGCTCAATACCCAGTATGTGGTAGGTAATGAACACAAGAGAGCTATTTTTAAACTTTATATATTTGGCCACGCGAGATGCCTCAGGCCAGTAATTCCAGCACTTTGGGAGGCCAAGCCAGGCGGGTTGCCTAAGCTCAGGAGTCTCAGACCAGCTTTGCCAATGTGGCAAAACCCCATCTCTACTAAAAACACAAAAAATAAACTGGGAGTGCCTATAATCCCAGCTACTCAGAAGGCTGAGGCAGGAGAATCTCTTGAACCCGGGAGGCGGAGGTTGCAGTGAGCTGAGATAATGCCACTGCACTCCAGCCTGGGTGACATAAGGACACTCTGTCTCAAAAAAAACAAAAACAAAAAACAAAGTTTATATATTTGGCCTTCAGTAAACAGAGAATCAGAATTGAAACTCAGGTCTCCTGATAAATTTAAGGATAGTTTCTACAGCGATGCTGCTGGGAACCACACAAAGGAAGCATTTAATCAAACTGATATGACTAAGTATCGTTATGATACAGCAGCAAAAGTACATTGGTTACATACGATGACACTAAATGCCAAAGCTTTACATGGTGTTAGAAGGTCAGGTGCTCCTTCAGAACATACGCCCCACAATATGTTACCTTGTTCTTTTCTGCTATGATTCTCTTTGTAAAAAGTTATATATCTGAGTAATAAATTACTACACTAAATATCTGAGAGTACTACTTTGGGTCACAAAAGCAAAATAATTTGCTTAGAAAAACAATTAATTTTAGGCTGAGTATGGTAGCTCATGCCTGTAATCCCAGCGCTTTGAGAGGCTGAGGCGGGCCAATCACTTGAGGCCAGGAGTTCAAGACCAGCCTGGCCACCATGGCAAAACCGTGCCTCTACTAAAAATACAAAAATTAGCCAGGTGTGATAGCGCACACCTGTAATCCCAGCTACTCAGGTGAATGAGACACAAGAATTGCTTGAACCCGGGCAGTGTACGCCACAGTGAGCCGAAATCATACCACTATAATCCAGTCTGGGCAACAGAGTGAGACCCTGCCTCAAGAAAAATAAATAAATTAAAAATAAACCACCTAACTTAAAAATACTAAATATTCAGTGAAAACTAGAGTCATGCTAAACCAAAACAGTGTTTTAGCTCTGAGTATTAAAAGCTATTTATGGAGCCATAAACAAAGCTGATAATATAGCTCCTAAACAAAGAACTGGAATATGGTTGGCAAAGAATCACCTTCTTAATTTCTTAAGAATGTTTAACTCTGGCACAAAGTAGATCAGTGCGTATGGGTGGATATCCTTCTAGAGAGATGAAACTAGAAGACTGAGGATCTGCAGAAGGGAAGGAAGAGACGCCCAGTCATCTCTCTTTTCTCTCTAGTCTCTCTCTCCTAACTCTTGAAATTCACTCATTAATTCATGTACTTATCAAAATGGCATGTCAATACCCTGAGCAGCCACTCAGAACAGGACTCCTGCATCACTACAATACTGATCCCCCAGCCTCTCCTCTGCCCTGAACCTGCCTTTGCCGCTGTCATTTTATCTACACTGGACAGGACCTGTCCATTTCCTAACCTCCTTCCAATTATGTTCGCCCATGTCTGGACCTGGCCGGCTGTTCTCTGCAGCCCCTGGCTGGTTCCCTTTCCCTGAGAGTGACGCAGCCAGAGGCACTAAAGGGTTAGCTCCACGGGCCCCATCCCTGCATTTGTCCCACGAAGGGGCTCACAATCCTCATTTTCTGGGTTTGGGTAACGTTAGAAAAATAAACCCCAACCCAGTACCATTCCCTTTTGCTTCTGATTTGGAGCTCTACACCAGAGCCTTAGTTCTGGTCAGTTGTTAAGTAACTATTTAACAGTGTAACATTCAGAACTACATGGCATCTACAGTGTCCAATAAAGAAAGAGGAAGCGGGGCCAGGCACAGTGGTTCACCCCTGTAATTCTAGCACTTTGAGAAGCTGAGGTGGGTGGATCACAAGGTCAGGAGATCAAGACCATTCTGGCCAACATGGTGAAACCCTGTCTCTACTAAAAATACAAAAATTAGCTGGGCGTGGTGGCGCGCGCCTGCAGTCCCAGCTACTCAGTAGGCTGAGGTAGGAGAAGAGAATTGCTTGAACCAGGGAGGTAGTGGTTGTTGCAGTGAGCTGACGTCGTGCCACTGCACTCCAGCCTGGTAACAGAGCAAGATTCTACCTCAAAAATAAAAAATATAAAATAAAATAAAAGGGGGCCGGGCACGGTGGCTCAAGCCTGTAATCCCAGCACTTTGGGAGGCCGACGCGGGTGGATCACGAGGTCAAGAGATCGAGACCATCCTGGTCAACATGGTGAAACCCCGTCTCTACTAAAAATAAAAAAAATTAGCTGGGCATGGTGGTGCGTGCCTGTAATCCCAGCTACTCAGGAGGCTGAGGCAGGAGAATTGCCTGAACCCAGGAGGCGGAGGTTGCGGTGAGCCGAGATCGCGCCATTGCACTCCAGCCTGGGTAACATGAGTGAAACTCCGTCTCAAAAAAAAAAAATAAAATAAATAAAATAAAATAAAATAAAAGGAAACAGAAAACCCTACCTTCGAAAAAGAAAAATAGGTAGGTGCTTGGTGATACAAAGTTGAATAAAACAAACAGAATCTGCTGGAGAAAACAGGCCTGAAAATCA